AGAGACGAACGCACGTCTGGCAATTTGGTGGATCTGTCTGATAGGCGACTTTTACAATTAAAACTTAATTAACTCGCTTGCTATAAAGAAACAGTTGACACCAGGGGGCGTATGCCAGTGACCCATGATCCCACAGGGCAAGGGAAAATGTGATCCCATTTTGAAAAACCGCAAGAGATAAGATGTAGGGAACTAAAGTTGTTATTTTTTCACTTTTTAAAGAACTATACACTCTTGTAACTGATCGCAATACTCTGATACGTTACATTAGTTTTTTTATAGAATATATTTGGATGTACAAATGACATAAACAATAAATAAATTCAACGTTTTGACTTAGTGGCTCATACATAATTTTTTTATGTTCATGTTTTTACACAAAACATGATAAAATGTGTATCAACGAAATCAAAAACAAAAACTTATTTGTATCAGCATTGATAATTGCTTTGTCATCATATATATTTGTTAAGTTGGGGATAATCTTCTAAACCATTACTGAAACATTCGTACGTAACAAAGGCGGCAAACAGATGCTTTCAAACGATGTTATAGATGTTCACAACATGGAAAGACATGAAATGTGGAACGCATCCTCTTTTCATTGCTTTGCTTTTCGCATTCTTCCAAAATTTCAGGGAGAAACTGTTGATAAACGCAGGAAGATATCAGACCAACAGGGGAACGTCCATTACCATTTGTCAACACACACTAATGTTATTATACCAAACTTTGAAAACACTGGGAATTCACTATCCAATCTCAACCCCATTCATACAGACTGTCATCTGCATTCCTGCCTACCAACGACCCCCTCTTCGAGTTTTTAGCATGAAAACCATATGGTATGATTTGTATGCACAGTCGCGAAGAGAACCGTATGTGAACATACTGAAAGGGAATTCATCAACTGACGGTACAGAGGTACCTGTCCAAGAGATAGAAGGAACAGTAAGATTTCACCCTCATACTTCTGTTGCCTTTAAGAAGACGCTACATCCGTTTACAAAACGTCTTTACATCTACTTTGGTTCCAGGGGCACCCACTATTACGCTTGGAGATATGCATGATAAACTAAAACAATTCATACAGCCGAATGTGTTTCCAAAGAAATATCTAATGATATTAGAGAAAGTATCGAAATTCATATATTGGTTTTGCAAACTGATACAGAAGATGAAATGCTACCTTTGTCGATGTCGGAACAAAATATACCCCGCGAGGAAATAGGAGATGAGTACGCGATACTCTCTACAATAGACGCAGATATCATGTGAGCAGTCGATGCCACTTGAGAATGGGTCACATGCGATGAACTACCTAATTGTAAATTACGATAACAGTACGTCCAAGAACTAGCCTCGCTACCTGCTTGAGATAGCATCGTTATAGTGGATATCACTTGTTGCTCTTGTCTTGCCGTGCCACAACGACTGTAAATGGATGCGTGCGGATGCAAGGTGTCATATCCTATTAAATGAAATCAGAGGTGGGAAGTTTTTCTTTCAGTCTTCTTATTGATTTACTGAACATATTTGCAAAATTAGATTTTGGTTTTGGAATTATAAGGAGTACATGTTTATTGTAATTATATTTTTAATTTAATGTTTTCTATTCTCCAAATATTTCATAGCTTTTAGAAGTTATTCTTGATTCTAAATAATTTGTTTGTATCGTTAGAATATTCCAACAATGGGAAAGCTTTTTACATCACTTAAGAACTTTGAAATTGCGCTTCAATTAAAATCAGTTCCTAAGCGTGACTTTTCTTATTTGATTTATTTTATCTGAGAAAAAGAGATGAGTATAGTGGCCTTAACCTTAAGATTATGGTTTCACTGAACATACAGTGCCCACGTTTGTTCATTGTATAAAGACCGTACACATAATCAGCCTCTTCTTTACACATATTTGGTTAAAATCACATTCCCGCAAAAGTACCTCTCATCCTTCACTTTGTTGTACATATTTTCAACGGACTTATTATTTATTAAACACATACGCACAAAGCTGCGTCGTGAATTCCAGGGTTGTCTTTTCTGTAACTAAAATGTTTTTGGTTTGTCTTTTATGCCTTTTTACCATGATAAGAATCAGGAAAGCAAAGCCTCGCAGTTACCGAAACGTCAACAGATATTCTCTTCAGTTTCATATTGTCTGCGACTAACTGCAACGCCCGAACGCTTTTATGAATTATTGGCCTTTGTATTAGCAACGGAACACCCGATTGCTCAATTTACAGATTGAACGTTTCACGTAGGAAATATTATTCTTAATGATTTATGTTTGCAAGACTATTACCTTTTAACTGCCCACTAGATAACAGAATTATCATATTATTATCATGAAAAATATATGTCACATAAGATACCTAAATATCCATGGCCAAATATAAAACAAATTGATAAGCCTCCCAACATGGGATCATCCGCTTTACGTCTATCTTGAAGAATACACGCGTCTCAATTGTACTCATGTTCTAATAATGGTTTTTATTTTCAGTGAATCAATATATTCATTTCTTATAACTCTTTTTCTAATGGTTATAAGGATGTTAAAAATATAAGGTTTTACCCTTTCGTTCGAGGACTATATAAACGAAAAAATGGAGCTCCGAGACGATACCATTCCAGTCTAAGCACATATACAAACCCCGCGACGTTTGATACAGCAAACAGTGTGTCTGTCCATATATTATTCGCGTTAGTGTCCTTTCGTTAGGTTATATATTACGGTTCACGAAATTGAGACTCTTTATCAACACATAATACCACCTCCGTCCACGTGTTTCTTACATTCACTATTTTAAGAATATAATCTTGTCAGCAAGATCGTTATTATTAAGGAAGGAACTTTTGTCCTTTAGTCGAAATCCAAACCTTCACGAGAGGGAAAGCTACCTATCATATTTACAATAAAGTGTCGACAATGAATGTATAGAGGCTAGATCAGATGATGTTCCACCAGGACACCGTCGCTATAGTTGGCGCTTATCGCGTAAGGTCATTATTTTAACTAGCACATTTTTATGTGAAAATTACACCGGTATTTGTTTGGCATTTCTTTCACTGTTTAGTAATGGGTTTTTTATAGGTTATAATCTGATAGGAGAGGCTATATTATACCATATGGTATTATATGACACATTGTTATCGGGTAATAAATGTGAGGAGGGTATGTCCATTTTACCAAATTTTGAAATTGAAATTTCTTTTTAGTTTAAGTTTTCATTTTGATAATAAAAAAACCCCATATCTGTATTCCTTACTGATCATGCTATTTGACAAATGGGTTGTCTTTTCGCAAACACGTCGTGTCATCACTGATTTTCAGTGATCCATTCACATAATTTTCTTTTGCGTCAAATGGGATTTGTTTCGGTGGTTATTCTCTATCGTTGACGTTATATGTTTACGTATGGTAAGTTGATATAAGTAATTGATTTATAAGATATTACATATAATACTGCTTGAATATAGTTTTCATATTTATTTGCCTTCGTAAGTTAATATTGTAATCTCACAACTTTATTTTAAATATCCCGAAGGGTAACAAAGTGACGTGTTATAGATACTAGATAAACAGTTGTGAAGACATTCTTGATTTAAATGCGTTTTATGTTTTAATCCTAAATCAAATATTGTATAACATTGATTAATTCATATATCAGTTTCTTGGAAAAAAAGATTAATTTTAATTTCAGTTCAAAACACTTGTTATCTTTTCACACATATATGGCAAAATCTTGAAAGTGAAATACAGCACAAATAGTTATAGAGTATTGTTTATCTGCTTGATGACAATCATCGGAGATAATGACGGTCGCATTATGCAGTGACGACTACTATATATGTGGAACAAACATCATGTTTGTCTATGGTTTAACGCCGCAATCAGCACTATTCCAGCTATAAGACAGCGGTCTGTAAATTATCAAGTCTGGGCCAGACAATCCAGTGCTTGACATCATGGGTATCGATTTACCCAATTGGGATACGATGACATGCATTAATCTAGTCGGCGAACCTTGCCACCCGAACCCGTTAGTCGCCTCTTACGACAAGGATGGGTTGCTCATGGCCAGTTTGAAGCAGGGTCTTCGCGGGATATGAAGCGTGCAAGTTCAACTCTACTATGTCACTACAATTAGAAATGAAATTTTATTTATATCAAGACGCAAGATGAAAAATGAAAACTTCAGAAAATCTAAACTAAAACGAAGGTTGACTTGGTGAACTATATTTAGCTATCTGGTAATCAGAAGAAAAGGTCAAAGAGTTTAATGCTTTAATGTGTAGACGACTTTCCCTATTTATAGCCTGTTAGAATAGTAGAGCTGTTGTAATTTCATTTTTTAGAACTTTTTAATAGTCGATGAAGCAGTTTGTCCGAATAACGAAGTTGAAGCGAATACATATGTGCATGATTAGGATCGAACTAGTGGTTGTATTTTCATGATTATTCTTTCAAATTTTTGTTGTTATTATTATTACTATTATTATTACTAGTATAGTTGTTATGATGGTATCCATTATAAAGTATGTCCGTGTCAGTATGAGATTATACCCCCTTAAAATAAACTAAATATAATTTTTAGAAAGACACTAACATTTTGTTTAAAATGAATCAATCAGTTAAATGTTTACAGCAATACGCAATCAGTTTATTTTTAATTTTGATGCTGGTAAACAGGACTTCATTGAAATGCATAATTAATTTAGTTTTTGTCTTTATAGAATAATGCAAAAATCATTCTCATTTACAGTTCTATATGCCCTATATTTATATATAAAAAGATATTATCATGCTACCGATGCCATTTCGATACAATATCGTATCACATGATGTTATGTGTCGCATGTGGCAGTCTCCAAATTAATGTGTGCATAAAACAGATTGCTTGAGCTGACTATTAACAACAACAAATTTAAATTCTTATTGTATTAACATATTTCTAGGGAATTATAACGGACGTATATTAATTGTACATTGGTCTTACCTGAACACCTCGTCTTGTCACTGGAATCTGTAGACCCGGGTGAAGAGCTGACACTCTGGGAGGGTGATGAAGAAAAGGGGGGACTGTACGAGTTGGCCACTTCACAGTACGGTGACCCCCCGGGCATCAAGCCGCGGGACCCCGACATACCCCCTATCCCCCCGGACACCTGCACCCCACCCTGGTAGAAATAGTCACCAGTGTCTCGACTTGATAACAAATTAGACGCAGCGCTGCTCAATGGTCCGTTCATACCAAAATTTGAAGACGGGGACGAGAACCCCCACTCTGATGATTGGGAGGGGTACGTGAACCCACCCCCTGAGAAATTCCCAGTCCCGTACATTGATGAGAATGCAGTTTGTCTAGGAAATGTCTGAGAAAGTCCATAAGACCCTGGGAAGTTATGAGAATAGTGGTGCAAAGCCGGTGCATTCATTCCATAGACTCGTTGCTCCATCGCTATAGTATTTTGATTCAGCTTTCTGTCTCGGCCGATACCCCCTTAGGGAAATTATACACAAGTCGAGAATTTGCTTCCGAAGATCACAGTTCAGCCTCTTCTGGCTCGAACAGTCAGTTCACGGATACCTTGAAGAATCCCACAGGTATTGGCGCTCTGTGCTCATTTATGCATACCGACAATGCAAACTGATGACATCATTGCAGGTGTAATCCTTTCAGGTATACGTGATTACATAGTAATAACAATCATTATCACCAGAAAGCATTCAAGTCAGTGTTAATGATATGCACCTTTCGGCCGATGAATAAAAACTCTTCACGACAACTTCTGAAAGTTTCTTCAGAAGGATCCGAAAACGTGTCCTCAATGACAATAGGTTGTCCAAATTATCAATCAAAAATCAAATTATGCGTATCCAAATTCACTGATATCCAACGAGAGCACTCTTATATTGAAGGTACATAAACAACTTTCTGTGGTAACATCAAACATAAGTTGATAACAGACCGCTCACAGACTAGCAGACGACACGTTGTAAACATCCATCCAAAAGGTAGATTAACATTTACTGCCGCCAGTCTCACTGATGCGACACCTTGTGTGAAAAAGGGTCACAAATCAACCGCCATGCGCATGTGCAGAGCCGTACAGAGCTGTCCGTCGTCGACAGTCGTCAGAAAGCGATTCCGCCAAATACCAATCACATGCGAAAGTTTGGAACCGCGGCTTATTTACTCGGCGGAGCGATACACTCGCGAAGGGGTGATAGGGTGTCGCTTAGCAGTAGCTGCCGTTCCATCGTGTGCACACTTCCGTTGACTGTTTACGACAGATTTCGATTGTTTTAAAAACAGTTTGTTTTATTATTTTGATATGTGCTGATCTGTTTATTGCTGCTGAGGAACGTTAAATAAATACGAAAATCCGGACAAGCTCACCGGCAGAATCCTTGTATTTTTATAATACCCACAGACATACATCGCTCCACGGCATGCAGATTAAGGAAGCGTCTTTGGTGTTCCGTAATATTCCTACGCTTTTATAGCAAGTGAGACAAGATACACACTCAGGTGGATCATATATATATATATATATATATATATATATATATATATATATATATATATATTAATGAACAAATTCTTTTTTATTTTGGTTGACCTTACAAACTGCTGTTATAGTTACATGACGAGCCATAAAGTTTATATGCATATTGACTTCAGCATATTTTGTACGTGTTTAATTATAAACGTTGCATATACACATTTTTGTCTTTTGGTCAGTGTTGGCCTGGTGAGCCTCGGGCATGTAGCATAAGCTGAAAGCACCAGCCAGTACACTATATGTACACATGTGTGGACATAGCAGCACTCGTAATCGTACAGTACAAACACATCAAACTCACTTTACATAGCTTATTTATAGTGGTAGCTTCCTTGAACTATAAGGTACAGGGATTTTCGGATTACATATTGGTGGGACCCGTGAAGATTCCGGGGTAGAATAGGTCTTCAGCAACCCATGCTTGCCGTAAAAGGCAACTATGCTTGTCGTTAAAGGCGACTAACGGGATCGGGTGGTCAGGCTCGCTGACTTGGTTGATGCATGTCATCGATCCAAATTGCGTGGATTGATGATAATGATAGTAATCACTGGATTGTCTGGTCCAGACTCGATTATTTACAGACCGCCGTCATATAGCTGGAATATTGCTGAGAGCGGCGTTAAACAACAAACCAACCAACAACCAACATATTGCTGTTCATTAAATTTAAAATCTTTTTTTTTGTTGTTGTTGGAATTACTGTTCTAAAGGATAAGCTTATTTCTTAGTTAAAAAAATACGAAATGTATTAAACAAAGTTATAGTTGCTTAGTTATATAATGCTTCTGTGTTGTCTTACGCTTCATAATCAGGTTACCAAGTTCTTTTTAATGCTTGTTTGATACAAGGAATGTCGTTAAATGGTGAAAAAATGATATAAATGTCTTCAAATGAGAATCGTTATCAGAAAAAAATTCAGTTGAAACCCCAAATGAACACAATCAGCTTTTTCAAAGATTTCAAAAGAAAGCATTATTTATATATGACGTTCAGCATACCCCCAAAAAACACAACTCCATTTTTTCAATAAGGAGAATATCATTTGTTTCATATTTCAACAGACAATCTTTGCTCACACTTTTCCATTTTATCTCGTGGACTCGTTTCCTCAGCTCCAGGCGAAATCTCTACCGATTGGTGGTTTCATGAGCGGGGTGTGCATTCTTGGGCTTTCCTCCCCGAATCTGGTTATACCATATCCCCTCTCATCATCATTAGGCGAAATGCGAGCCTGCTAATGCTCTCCTAAACTCCAATGAGCTCTCTATCTCACGACACAATGCATGGCAAACTAAGCCAAGGAAAGAGCGGATAGCAAGCATGCTAGATTTACTTCAGATTATATTTTCCACGTCTTGTACCTAAGAAAACAAAATTACCACGAAAATAAATTTACAATGCAGTTTGCAGTTGTAATGGTAGGTAAAAAATATGAATAGGTATGATTTTCTTTTTTTAAACAACTCTGTGTGTATGTTATTTGAATTGATTGTATTAAAAGATTAAATAGTCGATTGTATTTCAAAATACATTCATGTTGGGTTAAGTATCTTTCAATATGTTATCTCAATAGGCAATATGTACGGGATTAACATGTATATGTGTACGCCAATTGGCTGATAATCAAGACTGGTTATTCTCTTGCATTGACGTTTCAAATCATTCTGTAGTTACCATTCTGAGATTTGACCCAAGCGTAAAGAATTCTTCGTATATTGTTAAGGAAATATCCGTACAGCATTTCTTTCTTTTTTGTTGTTGTTTAACGCCACACTCAGCAATATTCCATCTATATGACGGCGGTTATCCGTACAGCAAGCCGTTTGTGTTAACGCCATTAATATAATGGCAATCAGCATTGTTAACATACATAACTTTAAAAAACCTACCTTTATTAATTCCTCATCCAGGTTTTCTACAAGTTCATGAAAACTTTCGACGAAGATATTAATAATACATCCATAATGTTATTCGGTTTCTTTCTTCTTTGCCATGTAAAAATCCGATCAGCTGTATCTTTGAAAAACAAGACGTATTAAGACAAACATACTAGTCATATTTCATGTTTCTGTGATGTGGATAAACAACGAAGTATTTTTTAATGCTTCACATCATTAAAAGTTCTTTAATCAAAATATGTTGAAGCTGCATAGACGCTTCTGTTACAAATACTTGTATCGTGCAGTGTCCATGCACAGGTGTGCGATGCACCAATAGCCTGGGTCTTCATGTTTAATTAGGAGTCTACATCTCAATATTGAATATCATTTATATGTCATTTTCTAGATATGTTCATTCGGGTATGCAAAGCATATATAGTATTGCAGAAGAGGTGTATTTGAGGACTATTCATTAACATTGCCAGTTGATAAATATCAAAGACAGGGTTTTAATCTACATGTCTAGCATATGGTATGACGGAATGACCTGTCCTACGTTTCATTTATATCCATGGGATGTAATTAAAAACGCCAACGCCACAGAATAATCAGTCTCTATAAGCTGGCGAAACATTAGGCGTAAACCGCAAAATAGTGTTGAAAATAATATGATTTGGTCACTGAAATTAGTGATGACACCAGGTGTTCGAGAAAAGGCTCTAGCGGTACTGGCAGTCGCAAATAGTTTTGATACTCATGCATTTGACTTCAGACGAAATTTAAACACGACCTATTGTTCGGTCACAAACTGTACGTGTTCATTTGCATAATTATTTGTGTTCATTTGCACGACTATTTCTGTTCATTTGCATGGCTATTCCTGTTCATTTGCATGGCTATTCCTGTTCATTTGCATGGCTATTCCTGTTCATTTGCATGGCTGTTTCTGTTCACTTGCATGGCTGTTTCTGTTCTTTTGCATGGCTGTTTCTGTTCATTTGCATGGCTATTCCTGTTCATTTGCATGGCTATTCCTGTTCCTTTGCATGGCTGTTTCTGTTCATTTGCATCGCTGTTCCTGTTCATTTGCATGGCTGTTTCTGTTCATTTGCATGGCTGTTTCTGTTCATTTGCATGGCTGTTTCTGTTCACTTGCATGGCTGTTTCTGTTCATTTGCATGGCTGTTTCTGTTCACTTGCATGGCTGTTTCTGTTCATTTGCATGGCTGTTTCTGTGCATTTGCATAGCTGTTTCTGTTCATTTGCATTACATTGGTACTCTGTTGCTATTTTTACGTGTATCGTAAAAAAAAAAGTATTAATTAAAAATATTCTCTAATAGCCAAAGCATATTTCACAATGTTAAAGTTTAGAAATACTTAATCGATGTATGTGTGTATCATTAATGATTGAAGAAGCCTACCAATTCTATACCCTGAAAGATAAGACTGGTGGTGCTGTTTTGGCCATATGTTTATGGTATGACACTAATATGCACTAGAAAATGAGATATGATTTATCAGTATAAAGTTTCTTGTTTCTTATATTCCATATTCCAGCTTCACGGCGGTGTGCTTGTTCTATTATGATATTGTATAAATCCTGAGAAGGTTTCATATGAATGGGCTTAAAGCGGCTTTGAACAGTATGGCAGTTATATCAAGTCGTGCCAGCTCAGTGTAGGAACAAAACCAAGCATGAGACAGGTCGTAAAACTGAAGTCGTTTATCGCTTTCTCTTTACCAACGGACATCGACATGGCACATGGCATTGGCACGGGCATTGGTATGGACATGGGTGTTGGCATGGAAACTGGCTTGGGCACTGGCATTAATACTGTTATGGACATTGTCATGAATATTGGGCTTGGGTGCTGGCCTGGACTTTGGCCTCGATATTGTATTCGATAGTGGCCTAGACATTGGCAAGGATATTGGCTAGGGTGTTGGCATGGACTTTGGCCCGGATATTGGCTTCGTTAGTGGCATGGGCTTTGGCAAGGATATTGGTTTGGATGCTGACATGGACATTGACAAAGATATTGGCTTGGATAGTGGCATGGACATTGGTATGAGTATTGGCATGGGTGCTGGCATGGACATTGGCATGAGTATTGGCGTGGGTGCTGGCATGGACATTGGCATGAGTATTGGCGTGGGTGCTGGCATGGACATTGGCATGGGTATTGGCTTGGGTAATGGCATGGACATTGGCATGAGTATTGGCGTGGGTGCTGGCATGGACATTGGCATGAGTATTGGCGTGAGTGCTGGCATAGACTTTGGCATGGGTATTGGCCTCGGTAGTGGCATGGACTTTGGCTTGGATAGTGGCATGAACATTGTCATGAATATTTGCTTGGGTGCTGGATGGATACTGGCGTGGTCTTCGTCATGGACACGATGCTGTCAAATCAAACCATGGGAACAATACCAATCGGATCCTAACAAATGCGGTGTCATTTGAAAATAAACTCAGCATGAGTCATCTAAAGTTCAGGTAGACCTCAAGAGTACTTATGTCGAACTGGATATGACTAACGACTTAAGGATCGTATGACAAGCAAACTATCCGAAGTTCGGATTAACCATCAACTACACGATCTTCAATAAAATGGTTTCTATTACTTTGTGTGTGAATATAAAGTCCTTTTTCTCGGCGTGAAATTCGGTTGAAATGAAAGAGATTT